CCTGAACTTCACCATCTTGCAACTCTTCCCTTTCACGTACGAAAGCAAGCGCATGGGCATCATCGTGAGGGTGAGTTGTCTTAGTTTTTACTTCAAATGGTACCCGCCCCCCCCCCCCCCCCCCCCGTGTACTGTGTGTGTCCCTGTGGCTCGACATTCTTTCTCACCCCTTTCTGACCCTCTGTTGTGATGTGTGTCATCCAAACTAACAAGGGAAGATAATTCCCGAAGCAGAAAGAAAGAGACTTCATCCATTGCACAGACGTCGGGTAGCTGATCAGCTTCCGGTTAATCCAGACCTAGAGTGAAAGATCTAATGAATGTAGATTGGACATTTCTTGGCAATAATACGTTTCTCATTGTATACTCTTTTGGTTAAATATATATTTTTTATTGAGGTGAAATCACTTAGCGTAAATTAACCATTTCAAATGTATGAAATCCAGTGGCATTTAGTACATTCACAGTGTGGTGCGATCACATCACTACTGTCAAGTTTCAAAAAATTTTCATCATCCTGAAAGGAAACCTCGTACCCGTTAAGCGGTCACTCCCGGTACCTCCTTTCCCCTAGGCCCCGGCAGCCGCCAGTCTGCTTTCTGTCTCCGTGGATTTACCCGTTCTGGATATTTCATAGAAATGGAATCACACAATATGTAACCTTTTGGGTCAGGCTTTTTCCACTTAGCGTAAGGTTTTCAGTGTTCATCTACACTGTAGCACCTGTCAGTCCTGCACCTCCTCTTATGGCTGAATGGATTTCCACGTTGCTTATCTGTCCATCCATCAATGCACACTTTGGTTGTTTCTGCCTTTTGGCTATTGTGAATAATGCTGCTATGACATTCGTGTAGAAGGATTTGAATACCTGTTTTCAATTCTTTTGGGCATTTACCTAGGAGTGGAATTGCTGGGTCAATTACTCAACTGCTGGGTAATTCTTTTGATTTTATGAAGAACCTACAAATTGTTTTCTACAATTATGCACCATTTTACATTCCCACCAGCAATGTGTGAAGAATTTAGTTTCTCCATATCCTCACCAATACTTGTTATTTTCAGTTTTTTGTGTTTTTTTGAGGAAGATTAGCCCTGAGCTAACATCTGCTGCCAATCCTCCTCTTTTTGCTGAGGAAGACTGGCCCTAAGCTAATATCCATGCCCATCTTCCTCTACTTTATATGTGGGACGCCTGCCACAGCACAGCTTGCCAAGCCGCGCCATGTCTGCACCTGGAATCTGAATCGGTGAACCCTAGGCCGCCAAAGCAGAACGTGCGAACTTAACTGCTGTGTCACTGGGCCGGCCCCTCCGTTTTTTTGATTATAGCTATTCTAGTGGTTGTGAAGTGGTATTTCGTTGTGGTTTTGATTTGCATTTCCCTAATGACTAATGATGTTGAGCATCTTTTCATATGCTTATTGGCCACTTGTATATATTCCGTGGAGAAATGTCTCTTCGAGTCCTTTGCCCACTTTTCAGTTGAGTTGTCTTTTTGTTGTTGAGTTGTAAGTCCTTTGGCCACTTTTTAATTGAGTTGTTTGTCTTTTATGTAGGCCCTTATCAGAGATATGATATGCAAATATTTTCTCATGCTATAGGTTGTCTTTTCACTTTCTTGATAAAATTCCTTTGATGCACGGAAGTTACTAATTTTGATGAAGTCCAATTTATCTATTTTTTCTTTTGTTGCTCTGGACTTTGACGTCATATCTAAGAGTCTATTGCTAAATCTAAAGCCATGAAAATTTACCCCTGTATTTTTTTTTCAAGAGTTTCGTAGTTTAGGTCACTGATGCATTTTGAGTTAATTTTTGTGTATGGTGTGAGATGAGGGTTCAGCTTCATTCTTTTGCGTGTTGATATACAGTTGTCCCAGCACCATTTGTTGAACAGACTGTTATTTCCCCCATTGAATGGTCTTGGCACGTTTGTTGTAATTAAATATTTTTAATGGTTTTTCCTTTGTACAATCACAGAAGTTACTGAAAGAAAATGTAGTGGCCACTCAGCAGCATCATTTTACCATATATATTTCAGATTTTCTCTTTATATTTTTGAAACTTTTATTGAAATACAACGTACACCGAGAAAAATGCAAACATCCTAAGTTCACAGCTCAAGTGTTTACAAAGTTAACACACTCATGTGACCAGCATCCAGAGCGAGGAACAGAATCCCGCCCACCATCACATTAGTAGCTCCCTCGAGCGCTTTTCTGGTCATTTACTGCCTCCCCCACCCCCCCAACCAAGGGTGTAACTAACCTCTGTCCTGCTTTCTGCTATTGACTAGTTTTGTCTCTCTTTGAACTTTGTAAAAAGGAAATTGTACAGTAGATAACCATTTTGTATCTGGGTTCATTTGCTCAAATTTGTGTTTGTGAGGTTCAGCCATATTTTTTGCATGTATTGTAGTTCAAAAGATTTTTTTAAAGAAATAAAACATTGTAGATTCAATCTAAGCCCCATGTACCTTTCCTAGATTCTCCACTCTTACTCCAAATTCATCGTCCTTAAGAGTTTTAAAATAGTCTTGTCAGACATGTTTGGGTACAAATAATATGTATGGTGTTTTTCATGTTTCTATTCTCTGTATAAATGGCATTGTTGTGTATGTATCATTATTCCACTTCCTGTTTTTTCTTCAAAATTAAAAAAACTTTACTTCCATTTATAGACTTAATCCTACGTCATTAATCTTAGCTGATTCATAGTGCAGTCACGTGCCGCATAATGACGTTTGAGTCAGCGATGGACCACGTACGCGATGGTGGTCCCATAAGATTAGTGCCATAGAGCCTAGGTGTCTAGAGGCTGTACCATCTACGTTGGTGTAAGTGCCCTCTGTGGCGTTCACACAATGACAAAATTGCCTAACGACACATTCCTCGAAACCTATCCCTGTCGTTAAGCGGGGCATGACTGTATCTCCTTGTGCGGATACACTTCCCTTCCTTTGGCTTAGTGCACTTCCCTGTTGAGAGACATTTAGATAGTTGCCACGTTTTTCCCATTAGAAACAGCACTGCTGTGCGTAGCCTCGTCTGCTCCAGCCTCCATTGCGCATCTGTCAGTCTTTCTCCATGGCGTGAACCGAGAGGGAGAGCCGTGGGGTTGGAGGATATATACCTCTTTAAGTCTCCCAGATACCGTCAACTCGTTCTCCCAAGTGCTGTGCTAATCTTGGTCCCCCTGTTCTTCCGTGTCCTCACCATTGATAGCATCAGACTTTTTACATTTTGCCAATCTGAAGAGTCTGAATTAACATCTTTGTCTGTTTGCTCTTTTCCTCAGAGATCCCCCTTTCCATTCTGGGAAGTCGGGAGACCCTGGTGTTCACACCCCACTTTGTTCGGTAGTTCTCAGAGCTGGCTGATGGTCAGCATTACCGAGGGAGCTTTACAAATGCAGATTCCTTGGTTCCATCCCAGACCTAGTTTGGTGTTGGGATGGTTCCCTGGTATTTTTAAATTTTATTTTATCTTATTGAGGTCATAATAGTTTATAACATTATGAATTTCAGTTGTACATTATTATTTGTCAGTCACCATATAAATGTGCCCTTTACCCCTTATCCCCACCCCCTGACCCCCTTCCCTTCTGGTAACTGCTAATCTGTTCTCTTTGTCCATGTGTTAGTTTATCTCCCACATGTGAGTGAAATCATATGGTGTTTGTCTTTCTCTGCCTTATCTCGTTTAACAAAATACCCTCAAGGTCCATCCATGTTGTTGCAAAGGGGACAATTTTGTCTTTTTTATGGCTGAGTAGTAGTCCATTGTGTATATATACCACATCTTCTTTATCCAATCATCAGTTGATGGGCACTTGGGTTGCTTCCATGTCTTGGCTGTTGTGAATAGTGCTGCAGTGAACATAGGGGTACATGGGTCTCTTTGAATTGTTGATTTCAAGTTGTTTGGGTAAATACACAGTAGTGGGATAACTGGGTCATATGATATTTCTATTTTTAATTTTTTGAGAAATCTCCATACTGTCTTCCATAGTGGCTGCACCAGTTTGCATTCCCGCCAGCAGTGTATGAGGGTCCCTTTTCTCCGTATCCTCTCCAACATTTGTTATTTTTTGTCTTGGTGATTATAGCCATTCTAATAGGTGTAAGGTGATATCTTAGTGTAGTTTTGATTTGCATTTCCCTGATGATTAGTGATGTGGAACATCTTTTCATGTGGCTGTCGGCCATCTGTATATCTTCTTTGGAAAAATGTCTGTTCAGATCCTCTGCCCATTTTTTTTTTTTAAAGATTGCCACCTGAGCTAACAACTGTTGCCAGTTGCCTTTTTCTTCTTTTTTTTCCTTCTTCTCCCCAAAGCCCCCCAGTACATAGTTGTATATTCTAGTTGTGAGTGCCTCTGGTTGTGGCATGTGGGACGCCACCTCAGCATGGCTGGATGAGCGGTACCATGTCTGTGCCCAGGATCCAAACCGGTGAAACCCTGGGCCGCCTAAGCAGAGTGCATAAACTTAACCACTCGGCCACGGGGCTGGTCCCCCCTGCCTATTTTTTGATGGGGTTGTTTGGTTTTTTTGTTTTGAGTTGTATGAGTTCTTTATATATTTTGGAGATTAACAACCCTTGTCAGATATATAATTTGCAAATATTTTCTCCCACTTGGTGAGTTGTCTTTTCATTTTGTTCCTGGTTTCCTTTGCCTTACAGAAGCTCTTTAGTCTGATGAAGTCCAATTTGTTTATTTTTTCTTTTGTTTCCCTTGTCCCAGTAGACATGGTATTCGAAAAGGTCCTTCTAAGACTGATGTCAAAGGTTGTACTGCCTATATTTTCTTGTAGCAGTTTTATGGTTTCACGTCTTACCTTCAAGTCTTTGATCCATTTTGAGTTAATTTTTGTGCATGAAGAAAGAGAATGGTCTTCTTTCATTCTTTTGCATGTGGCTGTCCAGTTTTCCCAACACCGTTTACTGAAGAGATTTTCCTTTCTCCATCGTATTCTCTCAGCTCCTTTGTTGAAGATTAGCTGTCCGTAGATGTGTGGTTTTATTTCTTGGCTTTTAATTTTGTTCCATGGCTCTGTGTGTTTGTTTTTGTGGTTCCCTGGTATTTTTAAAGGTTCTTCACACTATTTGAGTTGATGGAGAGAACTGACTCAGATCATGAGAATCTTTGGAATAACTTTCATCTTTTCTGAATTTTTTTTTAAACAAGTAAGAATCCCCTTCACCCTCAAGTGTTTCATGCCTTAGAGATCAAAGTTGTAGACTCTATTATAGTAAATTAGTAAAAGCAGCGTTAGTAATTGGTAACAGTATTAATCAGCGGCAGTAGGAACAATGTAACGATAATGAATAGGTAACATTTAAATGGTGCTTATTATGTACCAGTCTCTGTTCTAAATGATTTGTGTAAACTAACTCGTTTAATTCCCACCATAACCCGATGAGGTAGGTACGATTATGATTGGCATTTGACAGAGGAGAAAACTGAGGTGTGGAGAGGCTAAGAAACTTCCCCAAGTTCACAGAGCTGGAAAGTAGTGGAGCTGTGAGGCCCCCAGGTCCATGCTCTGTACCACTAGGACCTGGCAGTCTGGGTGTGATGAGGCGGTGTCAGAAAGCTCATAGAGCACCCGTAGTGCCGTTGACGTAGGGTATGATTTCTGTGTTGCTGCGTAATAGATTATCCCACACTTAGTGGCTTCAGACAACAGATATCATCTCTTGGTTTCTGTGGGCCAGGAGTCTGGGTGCAGCTTAGCTGGGTCCTTTGGCTCAGGGTCTCTCGCAGGCTGCGCGGTCCAGGGCTTAGCTGGGGCGCTGCTATCAGCCAGGGTGCCACTCGGGCAGGATCCACTTCCAGATAAAATCAGTGTTGTTGGCAGGATTCAGTTCCTTGCGGGTTGTTGGACTGGGAGCCTTAGTTCTTTACTCGCTGTTGGCCAGAGGCCACCCTCACTCATTGCCGCAGGGGCCTCTCCATGGGACAGCTCCCGTGTCAGCTGGCTTCATCAAAGTGAGCAAGCGAGAGTGTGAGCGAGGTGGAAGGCACAGTCCCCTGTCCCCTGATCTCAGAACTGACCCTTATCAATCTGCCTTACTCTGTTATTAGAAGCCAGTCACTGGGTGGCAGCCCCAACTCACTGGGAGTGGCCCACGGAAGGGTGTGAGTACCAGGAGGTGGGATGGCTGGGAGGCATTGTAGAGGCTGCCTCCCCGGGGGGAGGTAGAAACAGCTCTGTGAGCTGCTGTTCTGATGATCCAGTTCCACGCAGCATGAACATGCTTTGAAATCAACACATTTTAAGAGATTTTTATGTCCCTGATGCCAGTAGGTAATTTCAGGCTCTAAGGACTTTCGAGCAGGAGGGGAACTTTTTCTGCCATGCAGCTGCTGCTTTTCCCACGGGTCCACACCTGGCCCGACTTGTGGCTTCTAAACCGTATCTGATGGCAAGAGCATCCGTGGCCTGGAAGTAGCAGCGTGAATCCTGTAAGTGGGTGTTTCCCGGGGAACGAGAGTCATTATCTCCTGTGGAATTACTTGCATTTTGTTCCAGTGATTATTTTTTCAAGTTCCAGGGCTGTGGCCTCTGCTGAAGTCATTTGAGGCTGAATCATCATCAGATAGCCAGCCCAATATCAGCCGTCCTAAAGTAAGTGGGCACAAGGCCCCACCCTTGCTTTAGTTGTAAAGGATTCTCACCCCCAGACACACGCGTGTCATCATTTTATGAGATGGGGCCCCTCTGTCTCCCACAGGAAGAGGAGGACTCTGTGCCTGGAAGCATGGGATACTGTCGCATGGGCCAGTCTGTCATTCTTTAAAAATAGTGCTGCTTGCTTCCCAGGTTATTAAAAAAAAAAAAAAACAGCATTCAGTTAAGGCATTTAGAACAAATAAATATGTAAAGAAGGGGATCAGAACTATTCATCTTTATTTTCACCACCTGAAGACAACCACTCTTACCCTTTCAGAGAATTTCCCTTCAGTTTTTTCCTAAGTGTGGACGAGTGTAACTACCCACACACATTTTTATAAAATTGGCATTGAGCTCCACATCAGGGTTTCTGAACTTTTCCCCCAACCACTGAGCTACACATATGGTGAAAATTTTCTCATATCATTTAAAACATGATGTTTATGATTTTAATATGTGCATAGTGTTTTATTAAATAACGGAAAAGTACCGTTATTTAATAAAATATTCTTTTTTTGGATGCTTAGCTTGCTTTTCTTTTCTCACCACTAAAAATCTGTGAGCATCCATCTTTGCTGGGCTGTCTTTAATGAAGTGCATATTATTTTGCGAATTTTTCTTGTTTTCCACCTGTGTCATCAGCCCTTTCAAACACATGTGAGCTCGTGGACACTACTTGTCAGCATCTTCTTGCAAAGGTCTGTGGGTGAATCTCCGTTTTTGGAGAAGGTCGGCAAGGTTGGAGAAGCCAGGTTCTCTGGGCTTGTGTGCCTGTCTTTCTGAGGAAAGGTGTGTCGCCTGTTTGGTTTTGGTTGTGTATGAGCTGTTCCACTGCCCTCCCCCTACCCCCCGATGTGGAATGATGGGGTCGAATTGTTGGTGTAGATTGTACCCTTGTCACTGTTTGACTAAAAGAAGCCTTTGTACAGGTGCCAGAATCAAACCACAGTGGAAAAAGATGAGGTCCCCAAACAATGCAACACAACCAGCAGATCTTTGTGAATTTACAGCGTAATCTTGCCATAATATGGGAACGGAGTAACCTTGTGATGAACTGGGAGAGAGGAAATGACTCATGGGAGGAGACGGTGGGTCCAGTATTTATATTGGACGAGACGGCTAAGCTCTCTTGAGCCCCTCTGGAGTGGAGGAAGCTGGGGAGGGCCACTACTTCCTACAGCTATGTTGTTAAGCACCATTTGGTTGAAGCGGAAAGGGAAAAACTCGGGTGCTTTCATGTTCAGACCCCACGGCTCTTTGGCCTGAGTCATGAGCCAGCATAGGCACGATCTGTCCAAGATGAAGCGTGTGGTCCTAATGCTTTTAAAATGCAGGTGCCTCTTCGTGGCGGGGGATGCTTTTATGAGTAAGCATGTCATTCCGAAAGATCGTCAGTGACTGGAGGGCATTCGAGAGTTATTTGAAGTAGGCAAGTTATATCACTAATTTGGCTTTGGGTATTTATTTCGTATTCAATGAGGAGTTCACAGGCACGCACTCCAGGCTTCTCGGGGTGGCAAAATTTAGGCGTGAGCTAGTGATGGCCTTGCTTGGTTCCCTCGCTTGTCTCTACTGCCTCCAGGCTCACCATGATGGGATCCATTGAGGAAAGAGTCATGGGAGAGCCAGCCCTGATGGCCTAGTGGTTAAGGTTTGGCGTTGTCACTGCTTTTTTTTTTTTTTTTTAAAGATTTTATTTTTTTCCTTTTTCTCCCCAAAGCCCCCCAGTACATAAGTGTATATTCTTCGTTGTGGGTCCTTCTAGTTGTGGCATGTGGCATGCCGCCTCAGCGTGGTTTGATGAGCAGTGCCATGTCCGCGCCCAGGATTCGAACCAACGAAACAATGGGCCGCCTGCAGCGGAGCGCGCGAACTTAACCACTCGGCCACGGGGCCAGCCCCGGCGTTGTCACTGCTTTGGTGGCCTGGGTGCATTGTCTGGTCGCAGAACCACTCCACCCGTCTGTCAGTAGCCGTGCTGTCGTGGCAGCTCACATGGAAGAACCGGAAGGACTTACGACTAGGATATACGACTATGTACTGGGGGGCTTTGGAGAGGAAAACAAAAGAGGAAGATTGGCAACAGATGTAGCTCAGGGTGAATCAGATGAATCTTTCCCTGCCAAAAAAAAAAAAAAGAGTCATAGGCTGGGAAGGAGCAATTTCACCATCATTCCTCAAAGTCAGGATTTCTCAGCCTCAGTGCTGACATTTGGGGCTGCATGATTCTTGGTTTGGGGCCATCCTGTGCACTGTAGGATGTTTAGCAGCATCTCTGGCCTCCACCCACTAGATGGCAATAATTCCACCCCTTAGAGTTGTGGCAACTGAATATGTCTCCAGACGTTGCCAAATGCAAAACCGCCCCCAGTGAGAACCTCTGGGCTAAGCCTTGTTCCCCACACACAGGGCGGCTGAGGACCTTGAGGAGCTGCGGTGACCCGAGCGGGAGAGGTGACCTGGGTGGGCATTTTCTGAGTATCTGGCCCCGTGCTCCGTGTGGATGATTTTGTTAAAGCCACAGCAGTCTGTGCTGTCAGAGTTGTCAGCACCCCTGTTTCACAGATGAGGAAACTGAGGTTTGGAGAAGAGACGGAGCTTGTCCAAGTGCACACGGTGGGAGCTGGTGCCGGGTCCAAGCAGTTGGTGCCTGTTCCTGGGCATTAGCACCCCCCAGAACATCTGGTCCGTGTGAACTGAAAATCTGGCTAATTTGATCTCTGGCTAAGTCCTCAGGGGGTCGTTGGGGTCTGGAATTATCTAGCTCAGCGGTTCTCAATTGAGGCATTGTGCCCCCCAGGGGACATTTGTTTATGTCTGGGGACATTTTGGTTGTCACCATGGCAGGTGCTGCTGGCTTCTAGTGGGAGAGGCCAGGGATGCTGCAGAAGATCCTGCCACACACAGGCCGGCCCCCCACAGCAAAGCACTCTCGAGCCCCTAACGTTAAGAATGCCAAGGCTGGGAAACCCTGATGTAGGTAATTATTTTCCTTCCCAGTTCTTTCAGGTGGACCACGATTTGGTGATGCTGGCAGTCCTACATAAACATTTAGAATTATCTTATAGCGTGGCAGTCCGTTCCTGTTGGAATAGTAGTAACTTTAAAAACAAAGTTCTTGAATCCTTTTGATCTTGCTTTCATCATTTGATAATTTTCCGAATGCTTTGAGTTTTCTTCTGTTTTCTGTGGCCTTTGCCCTGAAGTGAAGCCCCCTCTTGCTTTTTATCTGTGGCCAAATGAAAAAACCTTGGCGTCTGCTAAGTCGGCTTCGTGCACCATCTGTCGTGGGAAGTGGGCACTGGAGCAGAAAGCAGCGTTGCCCTCGGTTACTCATGGCTTCCGGCCCCTCTCTAGGATGAATCAACTGGAGAAATTACGTTTTACATGAAGGGGGCAGACGTCGTCATGGCTGGCATCGTGCAGTACAACGACTGGCTGGAGGAAGAGGTAGGTGTGACGCAGGGAGGGAAAACTGGGCCCCAGAAACGTGATCTGGAGGCCATCTCTGGGGTGCTGAGGTGGGTCTCTGTATTCGTTACCTGTGGCTACGTAACAAATCACCCCAAAATGCAGCAGCTCACAACAGCACACGTTTATCTCTCACGGTTTCTGTGGACCAGGAATCGGGGCGCAGCTTAGCTGGTCCTCCGCTCAGGGTCCCTCACAGGCCGTGGTGTGATCTGAGGGCTCAGCTGGGGCAGGACGGCTTACACGCTCTCCCGGTGGCCCTGGGCGGGATTCAGCTCCTCACCGGCTTTTGGCTGGAGGCCGGGACCAGGAGTGGGGACCTCCGGGGGCCCCGTCACAGGCTGCTTTGTGACGTGGGGGGTTGGCTGCTGCAGGGAGAGAAGGAACTATCCGGTTGTCAGGCCACTTTTCTTTCTTCTCTCGGCTCCAGGAGGGGAATCCAAATTTTACTTTCAGTAATAGTGTATTTTCATCTGGGGAGTTGCAAACCCAAACGCCCACAGGGGCCAGGCGGGCAACTCGAATGAATGGAGCAGGCTGGGATGTGTTTTATGACAGGGCCGCACTTTGTGTGTTCAGCATGTCGGAATATTCTTCACGTGACAGTTACATTTTCTGGGAGCACCTGGAAGCAGCCAGTTTTCAGCCATCATTGACTGTGGTCATTTGCAAAAGTGCACCCAGTTTTGTCAGAGGTTTGGTTTTCCCAAGAAGCTGGAAATCCAGGTTTGTCTGGAACCTCACAGTGTTGACTTAATTGCAGAGCACACTGGGCGGGTCAGGGACAGCCTGGCGGAGGCCGTGCTCGGCCGGCCGGCCGCTGGGACGCAGCCTCCCCTTACGAGGTCTTCTCACGGGAGATTGCTCTAGGGGAAAGCAGGGCTCTGATTTGCCGTTTCGCTGTCCCCTTGGGAGGGCCTGTCCCCTCAGCGTCCAGCTGTCCTCAGTGAGGGTCAGGGACCCGGGGACAGAGCCCTCAGGGCGGCTCTCTGCTGACTGACGTCTGCTTTCCAGTGTGGAAACATGGCCCGCGAAGGGCTGCGGGTGCTCGTGGTGGCGAAGAAGTCTCTCGCCGAGGAGCAGTATCAAGACTTTGAAGTAAGTGGCTCGCGACCTCCCCGTTGTTTCTTCAGCCCTGCCTGTCTCCCCAGCTCCTCCTCGCTCACTCTGCTCTGGCCATCCTGACGTCATTTCTGAGCACACCAGTTTCCCTCTTATCACGGGGCCTTCGTACTTGCTTTCTCTCTGCCTGGAACTCTCCTCCCTCCCAGAGCGCCACGGCCCACTCCTCTCTTCCTTTGGGTCTCAGCTCAAATGCTGCCTCCTCTGAGAAGTCCTCCTGGACTCCCCCCCCTAAGGCAGCCCCACCTCATGACTCTCCATCCGTCACCCCGTCTAACTTCGTTCATTGCACTTGTCACCATCTTTAATGACCTTGTTTACATATATATTTTAACATTCTTCTTAGTTTCTCCTTTCTAGAATAAAATCTTTTTGAGAGCAGAGACATTATCAGTCTGGTTTGCTCTTATGTCCCCAAAACTTAGGCTCGTCCTTGGCACGTAGTATTCATTCTAGAAAACTTGAAATGAATCACATCTTAGAGCTCTAGTTTTTTTAAGCTGCAAAGAATGTTGGAGTTGAAGCAGATCCCTGACTTTCATGGCTAAGGGTCCAGCATAAATATGTCGTGTTTATTG